CTACTTTAGCACATAAGCTAAACAGATTCATGCATAAGAATCAAAAGTCACACTTTACCTAACGCATTGGGATTTTTTGGGCTCAGTTTTAGAAAATTGAAATTGTATTGTTAGGTTAAGTTCCGATAAGACGAATACATTAACTAATTTTAACCGTTTGTAAAGCAGAATTTTGTGCTCTATCTTTTTCTATTTACAACGGAGATTTGACCATTTGTCACTTAGCCTCGTTTTAGTTAGTGGACAGCAGTACTGCCACCTCAGTTATTTCTATCGCAAAGCAGCAATATGAGCTTCAATGTGTTCCGGTTTTGAAGGGTAAGGGTGCTGGTGAAATTACAGGCACATGGGACTTGTCAACTTATATCTCAGTGTGTCGGGCGGCCAGGGCCACTGCCCCTCAGATCTTTGCGACTTAAAGCTCTGAGTGGCATTGCAACCACGACTTGTTCGTCCCGTCACTAGATATCATAAAAAAATACTGGTTGTACCTATATAATGCGTCACTACTGGTCACGGGTCGATCTTGTCGTAAACAAAGTAATGACCAGAATGTGATAAAACTCTTGTTTATCGTAATCATCACCTTCCAATATGCCTTTAATAGTAACAAAGATCTGTTCTTTACATTTTTACGTCGTTCTTATTGACTACCGCACAATGGCTATATATACCCACAGAATGTTGTATATAGGTACAAAACCCCAAGGTAGTCAGGACATTCACCGAACAAATGGCGTCGCGATTGTTATTTAATGATTATATCTTGTCTTTTCTGTAGAAAAAAACAATGATTAATGATAATATAATGCTTAAGTGTCGAGAGACTGGGTGGTTAATAATAATTTAATGAAACCGTGAAGGAAGTAATTCGTCGTCATTAACCAGTTACACTCTCAGTCCCAATACGGGCAATTTTTAACCAACTTCAAAAAAAGTCCTCCTTTTACAGATTTTCAATTCGACTGTAATTTTTTTGTATGTAACGCGATGACTCCGGCATTTGTGAACTGATTTTGATGATTCTTTTTTGTTTGTAAGTTGAGTACCTCAATATTGGTCCCATTTAAATTTGAAGAAAATATTCCTCGTCCAAGGGTGGCAAACTAGGGGATGAATCTGGTTTCGCACGCTTTCCGGTAACCGATGTTAATAAAACTTGGCAATAGATGTAACTCCACGAATTTTTGAGGTCGTTTTTTTTTATAATTGATATGGAAGTCGTTGTCAAAACGAATCATTTGATCAATCACAAGGTAGCTGCTGTACACTGATGAGAAGTTCCTCTTATCTGTCTGCCATTTCCACCATCAGATCAGTTCTAGGTCACTATAACATTTTATTTAGTAGCTGTAGAGCTCCTTACCTATTTATGCCGCCAAGCAGCAATCTGAGCATTACTGCTTTCCGGTTTTGAAGGGGTGCTGGTGAAATTACAGGCACATGGGACTTGTCAACTTATGTCTCAGGGTGACGGGCGCAGTGGCAGTGCCCCTCCGATCTTTAAGTCTGAGTGGCACTGCATCTGTTATGAACAGACCTGTCGTTTACCACCAGGCCCACGACTTGTTCGTGCCGTCCCTTGCTATTATAAAAAACAATCTATTGGAACTGAATCTTTTTGCCAAGTTTTATTGGCATCTATTTTCGGAAAGTTCAGAAATTCGCCACCCTTAAAGGTGGAACATAACTGTAATACCCTAAAAAATAATCGGTTCAGAAATGTCGGAGTGATATCACTCCATCATTTCTGAACCGATTATTTTAAAATTGCGTAAAAAAATACAAAAAAATACAGTAGAATTAAAAACCTCCTTCTTTTTTTTTAATTTTCGATTATTGTGATTCTAAACCTTTTCTTAATAATCTGGGTAAAGAAATAAATGAATTTGATTTTCAAAGATAATAGGTGAAATATAATAATAAAAATAAAATAAATATATATAATATAATGAAAGGAAACAAAGTGCTTAAAGAAATATAAAACTCGAAAAACCTACTGTCTATATCTAAAAAATGAATAGAATAAAATGAAATAACATAACAATAAAATAATAATAAGCTTTTCCGTGCAAACGTCGTGATCAAACTTGAACGTTGAAGAAGGTTCACAACACTCGAAAAACGTATCAAGTCCCCCAACACGCATCACGCCAGGGTGGCGGACTATGGACTAAATCTACACCTGAGAGGAGACCCGTACTCAGCGGTGGCACCTATAAATGGGTTGTTGTTGATAATGATGATGATATATAAACCATATGGAAATAAACCACAAATGAAAAAAAACAATGGTACAGATTCTTTATTATATATAGATTACATTTATTATTCATGTTATGTGTAATACCCAGATATCAGCTCTCTGGTAAGCTGAATTAAATTAAAACCTGTTACATTTCCTGCTATTTCTTGTCACTACCTTTAATTGTAGACGTGGCCACGTAAGTCTGCCGCTGAGAAGTATTTAAATTATTTATTTAGTTATGTACACATTTGGATTCTAGTTGCGGTTTATTGGGTGCGAATTAAATGTTCAAATGTATATCTTTCGTAATTGAAACATATTTTGCAATATCCGTAAGTCGTAATTAATACTAGTTGTAAATCATGCCTTACGAAAATTAAACCTGAGAGTTATTATCTAATTAAGGCAGAAGGATGTGTGTATACATTTTTTTTATGATTGCAAGAGACGGGACAAACAGGTTGCACCTAGAGAGCTTTAAATTACAAACATTTGAAGAATACTGCCACTACATCATCATCAACCCATTTATGCGTCCTACTCGTGGGCACGGGTCTCCTCTCAGGAGAGGGTTTAGGTCATATGTCGCCACACTGGCGGGTTGTAGACTACACTCGTTTTCTGAGGATTATGAACCTTCTTGGACGTGCAAGTTTTATCACGATGTTTTCGTTCAATGAATTATCTCATGGTATAACATGACATATATGTCAAATTAAATAGAGTATATAAAGGAAGAATTTTTTCTTTTAATAACAACAACAAAAGTATCATATACGTACCAAAAAAACTAAGATGCCAAGCTTAGTTGCAGACCACGCCCGCGTATTTAGCTACGGGCTGCGCGCGCGCAAGATCAAGGTCGCGCTCCACTTTCAGCACTTGTAGTTTTTGTAACTTTTTTATTGTAATGTTCATTTGTTACAGATAAAATCGGTTGGTAAACATTGCAATGGTTCAAAATGCTTTTTCAATTTACTAATAGTATGAATTTATTATAACAAAAATAGTACAATGAAAATGTACATACATATGACATACTCTAATATACAGGGTGGAAATTTGTAATACCACCTGGAAGGAAAGTACTCTAAATACTGGAGATAGAAATTTTTACTTAAAGGAAACATTCCTTTATTTTTTAAAAGAAATAAAACTGTATTCATGGATTTTCGAAAATTTCTAGCAACACGCGGGAATACTACTAGGCTACTTTCCCTCTAGGTGGCATTACAAATTCCCACCCGGTATACGCATATGAGTTGCTATAAAGGTACGCGAAGAGAGTCAATACTTTATTATATACCATAACATTATATATACAAGGTGATAGATTAAACTGTGATTACGTTCGTTCATTTAAAAAATGAATTATCTCCTTACAATTAAATTGTGTGATTTGTTCACTTTTATAATGTATATTTAGTAGTTTTGGTTCCATGAATAAACAAGCAACGTCATCTATGAGGTTTGGGAGCAATTACTGAAGCTATTTCACTTTTATAATGAATGATATGATTGAATGTGGTACCATTAAACAAAAAATATTTATTTTAAAAATATGGAGTGGAAGCACATGGAACTTGTCAACTTATGTCTCAGGGCGACGGGCGCAGTGGCAGTGCCCCCCACACTGCAACTGTTATGGACAGGCGCGTAGCTTACCATCAGGCGCACGTCTTGTTCATCCCGTCCTAGATATTATAAAAACAATTAACGATACATATAAAAGACAACATTTGAATAATTTAAACTAATTTTAACCTTATTCTATTTTATATTTATTCTATTTTTATAACCTTATTCTATCTTCAACATTGAGATCGTAGTGACTCACGTCCTCTTTCAAAGCAAATCGTTCACGGCTCACAAGATATATTTCAAAGTAACTATTACGAGTATAAGAAATCGGATGGGTCCCCTAAAGCTATCTGGTATGCTTTTGAAATATAAAATGTTTGGCTTACAATTTTCTAAGTGAAATCTGAAATCGTTGATGTCTTTCGTATGAACAAGCTGTCGAAGGTGAAGTTACATAATATTGTATTTACAGTTAGTTGTTAAACTGAAAATGAACGCCATATAATTGACATTAGCTAACAGTTTTGTTAATTTTTTTGATGTTTTAATGTGTGGATCACCTTAGACATAATGATTGGTCATCAAATTATCAGCATCTCTACAGACCGCGCAAAATTTTTGTGTTGCCATTGTAATTCTACTGTTAGACGAATTAAATAATATCTTTTATTTTTAGGCACTGTATATCTATCACTGTATATCTGTATATATATCACAGTGCCTAAAATACACACAATAAAATTTTTTCATTAAATATGAACACGAAACAGTGAAATAACTGAGTTTTGGTATAAAATATTATGTAGTAATCAAGATGGAATGCTTCGATGTAGAAAATTGATGTTAATAGATTGACGACACAATTTTATAGAGCGTGTATAGATGAAAAACGTGGGTAGAGGTAGACCTCGTTGTACAGATAGGGGATGTCCTTAAAAAAGGTCATGTGAAGTTATGTAGGTAGTATCAAAAATAGACGGTTCATGGTTTCTTTATATCCTAGTTTTTTTCATAAGTAAATAAGTGCCATTTGACCTGCATCAGCCAGTTGGCATTTAGCAGTATTATCGCAAAAGTGGCAGCAGTACGTCATACATGATCAGACTTGTTGGACATGAGTTAGTGGTGCTATAAATTTACGATTAAGAAGAACCTTTTTTAAAAATTACAGGTCACTCTCCTCGTAGCAGCTACAGCCTGCGTATATGCACAAAACGGACCCACCACGACTCCAGTGCCTATCTTGAAACAGATCAACCGACAAAACGACGATGGGTCGTATTCCTACGGCTACGAAGCTGCTGACGGGTCGTTCAAAATCGAGACCAAGTACCCGAACGGAGACGTTGCTGGAAAATATGGTTACGTCGGTGAAGATGGCAAGCTGAAGGAGATTTCTTACGGTGCGAGTAGTAAGAGAGGTTTTGAACCGGAAGGTGAGTGTGATTTTTTAAAATTCTGCAGCATTCATAAATGTATCTTCGATAACTAATCTTGGATTTTGTAATGGGGACATCATGCTCATCGCTGACGGGGTTTCAGCGAGAGGAACATGGAGTTATAGCCAGCACGTTTTCTGGGCGCGATGGAGCTGTATGTGTGGTAGACGTACAGACTGCTTGAGGGACCCTGAGACGGCCCCTTAAGAAAATTGTTATTCTATAAAAAAAGGGGAGAGATGTGCGCGACAGCACCATTCTTTTTGAAATATTTTTATTATATTGTCTTTGTTTTATTTATTGAAGTTAGATGCTCAACCGTTTTTTTCCTCTAAGAAGTAATAATATACAGTCCTCACCATGAATAGATCTCATATGAAAACTTTGGAGAGCTTTTAGAAATGTTTAGTGATATTTATTATTTTTTATATTCATCTAATTCAGTCTTCTTGTCGCATCGATGGCATAGATTTGCAGTCTAGAACTTGTTTACTATCATAGTTAAAAGATTTGCCAATCAGCGTAAGGTTCTCGCGGATTGTTGCCCAGGGTGCGCTTGATGTGCAGGGAATGTAAATAGTACGTATTAAGGGAGGCTCCATTTGTGCATACCAATTATTGAATTAAATTCAATATTACCTATATAAATAACAGCTCGCCAAATAAAAAATCGACCAATTAGAAGGCCCCGTTTTATGACACTTTTTATTGATTTATAGACTGTTATAATCACAGTACAGTGTACTAAAAAACCGACCTCAAAAGCTAGTGGAATTATATCTAAATGCAAAGTTTATTGAAATCGGTCACCGGAACGCGAAACCGGATTCATATCCTAGTTTGCCACCCTTAAAGGTGGAATATTTTCTTGAAATTAAATGGAACCTAATACTGGGGTACCCTTTTTCTAACAAAAAAAGAATCATCAAAATCGGTTCACGAAGGCCGAATTTATCGCGTAACATATGTACATACAAAAAAAAATGCTGTCGACTTGAGAATCTCCTCCTTTTTTTAAGTCAATTAAAAAACGAAAAACTAGATACAGCCTAACTAATGAATAATTGCTATTACCGAAATTCATTGTTGTTTATGTGACTTTAATGCAGAGCTTATAAAGCAATTGCAGTGCCACTCGGAGCTTTAAATCGCAAAGATCTCAGAGACACTGCCACTGCGCCCGTCAAAGTCAAATTCAGAGTCATATAATCATTTATTACATAGGTAAAATTTTACACTTGAAAACGTCATTTTTGAAGCTACTTTATGTTCGCTCGTTCGCTACGCTGATCTCCCTGAGAAGAACGAGCAAGAAACTCTAGGAATTGCTCTTTTCAAATAAACTTAAATGCTACGGAATACACTTTGAATCATAATTGTGTGGAATCTAGACTCTTGTTGTCTTTCCATACAATTATATTTATGTAAACATACTCTTCAATTTTGGAATATGACTTTTCAATTAAATTACTTTTAATGCTTACTTTACCGCTTGAGGGCAGAAATAGATAAGATGGCAGTACTTCACTGGACGAACTCTTTCTTAAGGAGTTCTACAGCTACTAAATTAATGTAATATTGCATTAGCAGTAGAATAGTAACATATTGTACTGCGTTATGATTTTATTCTTAAGCTGTCGAAAATCTGTCCCAAGACCTATAATTTCGAAAGTCTACTACAAAGCCATTATTACAATGACAAAACAACATACGCTCGAGTTTACTTGAATCGTTCAATATTCAGAATGACATTGACCGCAAAAGTATTTTAACCAATGAGTAGACTTACTCAACATGCAAATAAATGTTAGTAGTGCACATTGCAACACATACCGTTGTGCATTATTTTTTATTTATTTATTGGTTAACTAACTGTTATTTCAATAGTAACAGTAAATTAACCCTTGTTACCCGTACGTTACCAAGGTACATTACCAGCACCGGGAGAGGAAAAATTGTTCTTGCTACACAACCGGGTAATGTAGCAGAAATGTTTGTTCCCTTTACAAATCCAATATGGCAGACCGGTAAAATTCAATGTCATGGAGATTTTATCTAATTGCTTGCAAAAACAAGGTAAAAATAGATAAAAAGATACATAAAAACTTTAACCAACTCAAAAAAAGATAGAGAAAGATAAGTAAACAAAAAACCAAAACAATATAGGCAGAGTCTCGGGCATTGACCCACCATCGGGTAACACGATTATGAAACAAAAAGAAAAAAATAATAAATTCATTTCAGGTTTAATCGAATTATTTTGTATCAATAGAATTATTTTGTATCAATAGAATTATTTTGTACAGTGAGTCCAAAAATATGTCACTAACCTCATTAAGACTTATTACATAATTTACAAAGCCTTGGATGTAGACATATTTTGTATCTATAGTCCATTTGTTTAGGTACTTAACTAAATGTAAACAATCTTGATACATCTTTTTATTGAAACACATGCTTTACAAATCAATAGGTATAAAAATAGGCATGCAATTTCATATGAAGCTAAGTATTTGTATTTTGTATTTGAAGGTAAGGGAAAATCATTTTATATATGTATATTTCATTAAATAGACATCTCAAGATTGTTTACATTTATTTAAGTACCTAAACAGATGGACTATAGTGGGCATTTTGAAGATAAATGTAGCGAACGGTTATGGACTCTTTGCAAACGTTAGTATTACGAAAATTATGTAAAATTGTCGTGTTTTTAAGAACCAATATGCAATTTAGGACTCACATAATAATATTCCCTAGTTGGCATACTGAAATGAAAGTGTAATTGCGTAATCTTTTGCCTCTCATTTAGGAAGTCCTAGTTTCGATTCTTAACTGCACTAATAAGTCTTTGTGTTTATTTAATGGTTTAGTAGCAACTTTAATGGTAAAGTTCTGTCATCATTCCTATTTCCGCCGCCAAGCTGTAATGTGAGCATTACATTCCAGCTGTGAAGGGAAAGGGGTGCTGACGCAATTACAGGCAGATGTGACTTGTCAATTTTATCCGTCAAGGCGACGGGTTCAGTTGTATTTGACGTCGTAAAAAAAAACTCAGAGATTTAAACCGCAAATCTCGGAGGGGTATTGCCACTGCGCCCGTCACCTTGAGACATAAGTCGACAAGTCCCATGTGCCTGTAATTTCACCAGCACCAATATCCTTCAAAACCGGAACACAGTAAGGGCTATATTTCACCGGGACACCATGGCGGCGCAACCAGTTGCGCCACCGTGGTGTTCGTAAGCTACCAAACTAGACACCATGCAGACACCAGAGTCGCCACACCACATTGAGACACTATCAAAATGGACCTCGAAGAGATAGCACTACTGCTGTATGTACGTAGGAAAAGAGAGTACAAGAGAAAAAAGAAACAGTGGTGGGTTCATCCTTATTTAGCCGATCGCTGTAAGAAAGGACAATTCGTCAACATATACGTCTACTTTCAATTTCGATAATAAACTTTTCTGTATCGAAATTATCCATCGTATGCAATGAACAAACAATCAAAATATTAAAATAAGTAGTTTAAAAATCAAAACAACAGTGCACGCGTGTTGCTTGCAATGAGGTGGGGGCGTCACTGGCGGCCGGACTGGCGGCCGAGTGAGTGAGACACCATACAGCGCTATAGTAGTTAGTGGTGGCGCGACCAGCGTGGCGGCGCAACCAGTAACATTCTGTGCACGCGTCCGAGTTGGTCGCGCCGCCAAATTGGTTGCGCAACCTAATGGACACCAGGTGAGTAACTCTCTATAGAGCTGTATACATTTTGTTGGTAGCGGCGACTGGTTGCGCCGCCATGGTGTCCCGGTGAAATATAGCCCTAATGCATTACTGCTTGGCGGCAGAAATAGGTAAGGTAGCAGTACTTCCTTGGACGAACTCTTTCACATGGCGCTGTACTGGTACTATATTTTTTGGTAAAAAATTTACACATTTATTTGTCGAGTTGCGGACACACAAATGGTAGACCCCACGTAGATTTGCTTTAGAACAAAAAGGGGGTGCGCTCATATACAGGGGGTGCGTTGATGATATATATGCAACAACGCCGCGCCTTAATTCATAGCCTACCTTCATCGCATTAATTGATAGGTGTTCTCTAGTAATACGGTTATTTACACGAGATGGGAAATTGTAGTCATAGCTTGGTGGGGTGTTATTGTTGGCACGCAGAATTTTGTGAAGCACTTAACTAAATATTATGTGATATATGTCATCACCGTCATTATCAACCCAGCTGCACAGGGGCCTTCACTATGGAGACGGTTTAGGTTATTGACTGCCATACAGACTTAAATTGGTAGGGGAGTTCAGGCGCTTTTCAAGGCCTGTGAGTTTTTCTGTTCCTTCTCCGTTTCCAGGAATTATTGCTACTAAACAGAAATGTCCGTGCATAACGTTATAGGGATTCGAACTGTCAACTTCTCAATTGAGATATCGTTCTCCCATTGGCATACTGCCGTTGTTTTGTTTAACTATAAAGTATGTATTTTTAATATTAATTCATTAAAATGTCAATGACACAAACAAAAAATTGCACCAACAAAAAAGTTTCACAAAAAAACTGTCTCGGTGCATAGTCATATGGGTCCAGTGACGCAATTCGGCCTTCATGGCCTGATAATTTGCTCATTAGGTGTTAGATTAGAACAAATTGAAGAGATAATTTGGGAGAATTATGAGACACTCTAATTTGTAGTCGCTTATTTGATTTGATAATTGATAATACTATAATTGTTTAAATGCGAAAATATGTGTTTTTCTAATTATATTAACAAAACAGACTGATTATTTTTGTATTGTCTTTTGTATTGTGTACTGTTATTATTAAATTTCTGTGTAATATTATATAAATAAATAAGTAATAGTAAGATATTTTCTTTTTAAATATTAATTTATTTCAAACATTAAATGAAATTCCCAGTCAGATATACATCATCCCCATCATTATGAGTTACAGAAGCTCGTATCTGCAGATGCGCAATTTTCTCTGCTTGATGGTTTGCAAACTAGAGTAGTTTGCAAACATCAATTAAAAAATTAGTCATCATTGGTAGCTTTCGGAGTACATCGTTCTTGTTGAATGTTTCTATACGTCTTTTTTTATTGTCCAGGTCTTGAAGCAGAATGCGTTGATGGAGCTATATAGGTATATAGTGAATACGCTAAGTAAACTTAAAAAGCATCAATTTTTAAATTACAGGTCCAGGCATTATGGTACCACCTCCAACTATCAACGATAATCCCTCAAACGCGCTAGCGGACGGCCAAGAAGATGACGGCCAATACAGAGAAGATCCCAGCATCTACGAAGACCCAAAATACAACAGCAAAGGTCGTGCACACCGCCCTTCAGCTAACTTCCAATTCCATCAACCTGTGCAACCTGCGCCACAGCCTCGAGCTCAATATCAACAAACCCAGTACAACCAGCCTCAATATCAGCAGCAATACCAACCATCGCAATTCCGGTCGTCTCCACTCTTCTCCCAACAAACCAGTTTCAGCCAGCCGTCACAAAACGTGTTCAGCCAGGGTACTCAACAATTTGACCAGTACAGGCCTCAGAGTCAGATATATCATCAGCAACCTCAATTCTCATACCAGGCGTACACTCCTCAATATAATCAAAACCAAAATCAATACAATCCATACCAAAATTTCGATCCCTTCTTGGGACATCCGGCCCAAAACTTTGACCCCAACACTGGTTCCTACACCATTAACTTCACTGGAAAGTAGGATAATGTATTGTACATATGAATAATAGTGTTTATTTTTAAGGATACTTCGTTATCCCAAAGCGAACGATTTTGTCTAGTGCTAGTCAGACTTTTGGAGAGTTTTGAAGATTTGTAACTGTAATGCTTAACTTGATTGTGACTAACAAAAGTACAAATTAATTTATTTATCAGTTTATAATATGTAACATGTATTTTATCCTGCATTACAATTTTATTTATGTATTATATTTATTTATTATTATAAATTTGATACATTTTTTAAATTAAAAGTGTGGACTTAATGTGTATTATAGTTCAACCATTTTTTCTCTTATGATATAATTTGCCCTTTTTATACTAAATATTATCAATACTACATCGAAATAACTATAATTGTACCTTTGTAAATATATGTGTATCTAATAACTTAACTTACATAGTAATTAATTGTACTATACGTGTCAGTTATTAATATTGTTTACTGATAACGACGCAAAGTAAACGAAGTTGCACAAGAACTTTTTTAAACAAAATTGATATTTTGTCATTCATTACTGTCTGTACTGTACTGTACTATCTGTCATAGCTTTAACAAATGACACCAACACGTTTGTATTTAACCATTGACTTATAATTTGTAAGTCAATGTATTTAACATAAAAATTGCGCAATGTATCATATGTCATTGATTGAAATTAATATGCCATCGAAGCGCCAATTTCGACGCAAGTTGGAAACAATACGTGTATTGTGTATAAATAGCTCTAATAAATACATCTGTTATGTAATATTATTTGGTTTTCTTTTCCCCAGCGAAAGTTCTGTTGTTTATATTACTCTACATTATGTAATATTACGTGTGACCCACAAACCTGTTTATTTATTTTTATTAGGACAAACTTCAAAAAATGTAAACAACAGCATCATTGTAGCGGGCACGCATCTACGGGTACGACGAGAAGAAGATCGTTGCGTATGGCACAAGCTACGGGACGCTTATACCTTGCAAAGGGTGAAGATGTGCTGTAGACGATGTTGATGATAAAAGAAATAGACATCAGAAAATGAATAAAGCACATAATATTAACAAGTCATGAAAATGACGACCTTTTGACAATGTCGGTGGCCTAACGGTTTACACTGTGAGCGTTGGATGATATCCCGGGTTCCATTTCCGGTATGAGCAAATTGAGAAATGAATTTTTCTAAACTGGTTGTGGTGTGGGTAATAACCCCGAAGCGAATTCCTTTGCTCTGGTAGTCATAATACGTGGAGTTTGCTAATTTATACTAGGTAATTGATGTGGTAAAGTGTGTGACACCCTTGCCCCATCCCATCCAGTACACCAGCAAAAGAGCTACTGGGTCCGCAGCTGAGCTGGCGGAAATAATAAAAAGCAATAAGTACCAGGACCTCGGCACCGACTATCTATTTGCACCCTTTGAAGTCGACACCCTTGGCCCTTGGGGTCCCAGTGCCCTTCATCTGTACAAAATTTTATTCAAAAAGTTAATAGACTGTCTGGGAAACCCAAGAGCCGGCAGCTACCTTGCCCAATGCATGTTAGCTTAGCCATACAAAGGGGGAACGCTGTCAGCATCTTGGGCACCTTGCCGCGGGGACGCAATTTTATTAGTTTCTAGTATTTAAGCTTTTATTGTACCTTACCTACATATTTCAACTTATTGTATAATAAAAGCGAAGTAACTAATAAAGGAGTAAGTTTCGCAGAACGCAATAATGCTCAAATTACTGCTTGGCGGCAGAAATAGGCAAGGAGGCAGTACTTCCCTGGACGAACTCGTTCGCAAGGACCTCTACTGATACTACTTTCTAGTCGACTTATGAAAAAACATGATGGAATTGAATTGAAGCGCATATCTTCCGAATAAACGTATCCGATAGAAAACCGACAAGCGAGCTTTCCTACAGTGGTCGACGTACATGTGTACACATTTGACTTATTCCACTTAATTATTGTAAAATAGCATAAGAAAATTACTTTCAAAGTCATAAAACTTAGCCGTGATGTAAAGGCCGATTGTCGGCCTTAGCAATTACACGAATTACACAGATCGAGACATAATTACGTATTTTTAACTAAAATGATTGAAAAATTAACTTCCTAGATTCCATGGGTGGTTTAAATTATTTAATAACTTCCGATTTATTTTAAGTGAAAGCAATGAAACAGTTTAAGGGTAACCGGTGCGCAGGCGCAGACCGGAAGTGGCGTAGGCGTCAATATCCGTCTTGTGAGTGGATGACCTTCGGTGCCACGCCCTGTGTTATGCGAAAGAGAACCATCGATTTCATTGTTTCAATTACGTACAACATTTTAGTATTTTTTTCTTTTATTTATACAGATCTTGACTCCGAAGCATCTTCAGTTTTACTGTTACTTTATTTATTTCCTGCTAGTAATTGCTTTCCTGCGATCAAACGAATAATTTTGATTATTTCGATTAACAAAAAAAAATAGAGGTAGAACAGAAACCGATATAGATGGAGCCAAAGCGTGTTAACCCTTGCTTGCTAAGTTAAGTACAGAATGATAGCGCACAATAGCTAAAAATTAACGTTGAAATGACCAGATTAACGAAAATGGCGGGTGGTCCCCTAATTCATGAACGGTATGTACGTAATAATAACATAAAAAAAAATAAAAACTAAAAAAGTTGTGATAGAAATAATTGATTTCGTCCATTTGCACCAGGGATCATATTATTATTACAACAACATGAAATTTAAAGAAATTAACCAAAGAACACCAAGCCTGAGTCAG